CATTCTTTTTCCCCAAGTTCCCCCCATCCTCCCCTTCTCCCTTTTCTCTCCCCATCTCCCCTTACCCCCATCCCACCCCACCCCCAAGATCCCAATTTTCTCCCCGTCCATTTTGTCTACTTCTCATAGCCAAGAGGATAACTATATGTTTTTCCTTGGGTTCACCTTCTTACTTAGCTTCTTTAGGTTCACCAATTGTAGACTCTGTGACCCTTATTTATGGCTAGAAACCAATTATGAGTGAGTACATCCCATGTTCATCTTTTTGGGTCTGGGTTACCTCACTCAGTATAGTGTTTTCTTTTTCCATCCATTTGCATGCAAAATTCGAGAAGTCATTGTTTTTTACCGCAGCGTAGTACTCTAATGTGTATATATTCCACACTTTCTTCATCCATTCATCCATTGAAGGGCATCTAGGTTGTTTCCAGGTTCTGGCTATTACAAATAATACTGCTATGAACATAGTTGAACAAATGCTCTTGTCATATGATAGGGCATCTCTAGGGTATATTCCCAGGAGTGGTATTGCTGGGTCCAGGGGTAGGTTGATCCCGAATTTCCTGAGAAACCGAAACACTGATTTCCAAAGTGGTTGCACAAGATTGCATTCCCACCAGCAATGGATGAGGGTACCCCTTCCTCCACAGCCTCTCCAGCAAAGGTTATCATTGGAGTTTTTTATTTTAGCCATTCTGACAGGTGTAAGATGATATCTCAAAGTTGTTTTGATTTGCATTTCCCTGATCGCTAAGGAGGTTGAGCATGACCTTAAGTGTCTCTTGGCCATTTGAACTTCCTCTGCTGAGAATTCTCTGTTCAGTTCAGTGCCCCATTTTTTAATTGGGTTAATTAGCATTTTAAAGTTTAGTTTCCTGAGTTCTCTATATATTATGGAGATCAGACCTTTGTCTGTTGCGGGGTTGGTGAAGATCTTCTCCCAGTCAGTAGGTTGCCTTTTTGTCTTAGTGACAGTGTCCTTTGCTTTACAGAAGCTTCTCAGTTTTAGTAGGTCCCATTTATTCAATGTTGCCCTTAATGTCTGTGCTGCTGGGGTTACACATAGGAAGCGATCTCCTGTGCCCATCTGTTGTAGGGTACTTCCCACTTTCTCTTCTATCAGGTTCAATGTGTTCTGACTAATATTGAGGTTTTTAATCCATTTGGACTTGAGTTTTGTGCATGGTGATAGATATGGGTCTATTTTCATTCTTCTACAGGTTGGCATCCAGTTATGCCAGCACCATTTGTTGAAGATGCTTTCTTTCTTCCATTGTATACTTTTAGCTCCTTTATAGAAAATGAGGTGTTCATAGGTTTGTGGGTTAAAATTCGGGTCTTCTATACGATTCCATTGGTCGACTTTTCTGTTTTTATGCCAGTCCCACACTGTTTTCGTCACTATAGCTCTGTAATAGAGTTTGAAGTCAGGGATGATAATGCCTCCAGAAGATCCTTTATTGTATAGGATTGTTTTGGCTATCCTGGGTTTTTTTGTTTTTCCATATAAAGTTGATTATTGTCCTCTCAAGATCTGTGAAGAATTTTGATGGGACCTTGATGGGGATTGCATTGAATATATAAATTGCCTTTGGTAGAATTGCCATTTTTACTATGTTGATCCTCCCAATCCAAGAGCAAGGGAGGTCCTTCCATTTTCTGGTATCCTCCTCATTTTCTTTCTTCAATGCCTTAAAGTTCTTGTCAAATAGATCTTTCACTTCCTTGGTTAGAGTTACCCCAAGATATTTTATGCAGTTTGTGGCTATCGTGAAAGGTGAAGCTTCTCTGATTTCCCTCTCTGCTTCCATATCCTTTGTGTATAAGAGGGCGACTGATTTTTTGGAGTTGATCTTGTATCCTGCCACATTACTAAAGGTGTTTATCAGCTGTAAAAGTTCTTTGGTGGAGTTTTGGGGGTCGCTTATGTACCACTATCATATCATCTGCAAATAACGAAAGTTTCATTTCTTCCTTTCCAATTCGAATCCCCTTGATCCCCTTATGTTGTCTTATTGCTCTTGCTAGAACTTCAAGCACTATATTGAAGAGGTATGGTGAGAGTGGACAGCCTTGTCGTGTTCCTGAGTTTAGTGGGATGGCTTTGAGCTTCTCTCCGTTTAATTTGATGTTAGCTGTCGGCTTGCTGTATATAGCTTTTATTATATTTAGGTATGACCCTTGTTACACATCACTCTTTCGAGTTTGGAGGAATAGCTTTGGTGACTGAAGTCTCGGGAATGCCAAAGTTCTTCCATTGTCTTGTGTCTCTTGTGTGGACCTCCGAGTGGCTCTACAGCACTCTCAGACAACACTGTTTTCAGTCTAACTTCCAAGTTATATCCCAATAGGAGAGTAGGGAAGTGTTGCATGGGATGAACCACAATAAATATTTTAAGTATTTGTGAATATGGAGATGATCATCCCAGAGGCTGATGACATGAAGGAGCCTTATGCACTTCCTTAGAAGTCTAGGAATGCTTCAAGCCAGTCCCCCACTTCTCTATCTCTCTCTTAGACACACACACACACACACACACACACACACACACACGTGTCTCCTCCTGGCTCCTCTCTCTCGGTTCCTTTCTCACTCCTCTGTCCACTCTAGTGTCTCTCTCTTCCGCCCTCCAGCCCTGATTGAGCTAAAGCGTATGGCTGGAAGATGGAGAAAGCTCTGTGTGTCCGTCTCTGTCGCATACATGTGACGCAGCCTGGGGCTCCATTAGTATTCACTGAAGAGCTAGCACGTTGATTTCCTTAGATCATAAAGGACTATGACTGCCTTGATTTTTTTTCCCCCCAGTGGAGAATAAGAAACCATTGAAAGCTGTCGAGCTGAGTCACAGATGACAGGCAGCAAAAAATACGACAAAGGTCCATGTGAGGTTTCAGAGGGGAGAGGGCAAGGAAGGGGTCCTTTAGGAGCCATGGCTGGATTCAGAGGGTAGGTTCTAAAGGCAAGAGCAGCGGGTCTTCTGTTGTTGGGATAATGAGGAACTGAAACGAGAAGCCAGTCGGGGAAAGATTGAAGAATGAATGGAAATGAAGCCCGGTGGTACTGTGCTGGCCTGGTATGCACAAGGCTTTAGGTTCTTTTCCTAGCATAAAAGAGAATAAAAAGGAAAGATCATTTACTCCCTGTGACTAGATAGGTGAACATCTAAGCGGAGGTACAGGAATGGGTTGCAAGCCAGAAGAGCCACAAGAATCAAATAGAAGGTAGAAGGTATTTTATTTTATTTTTTTTTTGAATGGGTGAGATCTGATCCTTTGTGAACAGAGGAGATGGAAGCAGCAAGTTTGGAGATGGTGGATAAAGAAGGAGATCAATTGAAAGGACAGGGCCTAGAAGGTGGTGGAACAGGAAACCACACAACGGAGAAAATGAAGAATTCCTCTCCCTCTAGGACAGAAGCAAATGGATAAGTAAGCAGACACTTAGGCTGGGAAGGGGAGGCCAGAGTGAACTTTCTCATAGAAGTGGAAATCACATCAGTGCATCAGGAGCTGGGGCCCAGGACTGTACGAGGAAGAGTTTGAGCTACCCAAAGTGTTAGGTGTGCCCAAAAGTCAAATGTGGAGATGTACAGAGAACAAGTAAGTAGCATCAGCCACCAAGGGCACCGAGGCACAGCAGAATGACTTTACAAGTCCAGATCCACTGTGTTCTGGGGCCAGATGAGAGACGTGTGACTGACATGTCCCAACCAGGACACTGCATGCCATAGACGATAGGAAAGAGAGTTTCGTATTACCAAAGGTAGACGTCAATTCTCCAAACAATGGCATCCAGACATACAAGAAAACTGGGTAGGGATAGTAAAAATTGACAGATTCATTCAGTTACCTTGAGAGGTTTCATTGGAAGCAAGTATTTGTCCTCTTGGAAAGGTACCTGTGAGAAGGCTATCTATGACTGACTATATATCACACTCACCAGAATGGGACCCGGGGTCCAAGCAGGGCTTGGTTAGAGACAGGTTTTGTAGGTAGGACACTGTGAATTGTCAGACTGCAGTAGCCAGTGGCATGGTCCTCTTCAGTCACACAGCCAGGCAGCCGCCAGGAAGGGGTTAGGAGACGAAGGCTGGGAGTTACAGAGAAGTGTCTCTTCACACCAGGAGAACCCAAGAGCCATAGCTAATGAGAACTCAGCGCGCTTTGCCTTTCTCTCTCCAGACACCTTTTTCATTCAGAACCTGAGCAGGGAGAGAGTTCTTTTACAGTTCAGCTGTTGTTTGTAGATTATCACGATCAGACACTTTTTTATCTCAAACCTCAGTCTGTGGCATGCACGCCTCTGAACATGACTACATTTAAAGTTTCTTAGGAAGATGATTAGTGACAATTCCCTTCTAAACCTCTAGGGAAGAGTGCCATAGAAACCTTTCATAATAACACAACAAAAACATACGCTTGCAGCTTCCTCCTGGCAAAGCAGCATCCTCGTTTGGGAAGATAACTATATTAAGAAACCGTGATATATAGGTGTGTGTGTGTGTGTGTGTGTGTGTGTTTGTGTGTGTGTGTGTGTGATTTTTGCCTACCAACATGTGATCTGACACTGTTCAAATAAGACTTGCAATTATTAGAAGGAATACAAAAAAATCTATTTTACGTAAATTGAAAGAAATTGAATGAAAAATAGTTCCTCACATGAAGTCACATAGTAAGCTGAGTCCATGGGCAGAATCTTTGGCTGTGCTGAAAGAAGCTCACTGAAGAGCCCCACTGTTCCATGGCAGAGGTAGACCCTTGTGAAATTTGGGGTGATAGCATCAACCTTAGTAAGGCCTCAGAATTGCTCACTGTTGGTCCCGGCTCAGATCCTTGAACTTGAGCAGTGAACAAGAACAGGCAGTGGACACCCTGCTGCCCTCACTGGAGTCTGGTGAGCCTCCAACAACGTTCTTTAAGCCTCAGCAGAGAGCTCCAGGAAGGGTACTTGAGGGTTTCAATCAACACTAACATTTTAACTGATGCTTCTCTCCCGACAGCTCCGCATGTCCTGGCTTATCCATGGGGCTTTAAGAGGAAATGTATCCCTGGTGCTGGTGGAGAACAAAACTGGGAAGGAACAAAGCCGAACGGTCTGGCATGTCGCCGCCGATGAGGGCTTGAGCCTGTGGCAGTGGACAGTATTGTCGCTCTTGGATGTGACTGATAGGTGAGTTCCTATCTGCCCTGCCTACTCCGCTTTACTTTACAAGTGATGAAGTAGGATGGTCTCACCCTTCATATACCCTTTATCTAAGACATTTTCTTAGTTATTTTACTCATGGCTATGACAAAGCACCTGACAAAGGCAACCTGAAGAAGGAAGGGTTTATTTGGGCTCAGAGTTTGGGGGTTTAATCCACCATAGTGGTCATCACTTGATAAAAGCGTGAGTCTGCTGCTTACCTTGTATCCACAGTGAGGAAGCAGACAGCGACAAATGCTGGTTAGTGCTCAGCTGACTTTCTCCTTCTACTTCAGTCCGAGTAAATGGACAGGTTGAATGGTACTGTCCGCATTGAGATTAGATCTTCCAACCTCAGTTAACCCCATCTAAAAGTCTTTTTCACCGACATGCCCAGAGGTCTGTCTCCTAGGCGATGCTAGGTCCTGTCAAGTCGGCAATCAATATTAACCATCACAAGCGTGTACACACACAGGCTTGCACAATCCCCTGCCCATTACTGGGAGTGCGAGATTCTTCAAGAGATGTTGTGCTAATGAACACTCGTCTCCTGTGGCTCTCACCTGGCCTCATTAGCTTCCTCCAGGATTTGCGTGCGGAAAGAGAAGAAAATGAGGCACTCCATCTCCTACCGAATAACACTCGGGTTTCATGTCTCCATGGCATTTCCTCTCACTTGGTGGCTGTTGCCTTCCTTTCCCATTTGCCAGTTTTCTTTTCCCTGATTAACAACAAAACCTTGGTAGGTGAGAAAGGGTTATCACTATCCCCTACTACTCTCTGAAAGAGGAGAAGCTGGAAAATCAAAGGAGCAAAATACCCACAAGTTGGCTTCAGAACCAAGACCGAACCCAAAAGCTCTATTGCTTCCACCCCGGAGATGGGTTGACTAAGGTAGATGCCAGAGACTTCACTAAACAAAGATGAGCTTCTGCCAGGGACCCTGGTCCTCATTGGATTTGATTACTAATGACCTCTGTGACCTTGGACAAGATCCTGTGGGCCTTCACACCCCAGTTTTTCCCCCTTCTGAATGGATAGGGTCAGGTGACAAGATCTTCACCTCCACATGGCACTGGATTGGAGCGGATGCCCGTGGAGTTCAGCTGCCCCTCATCTTCCTAAGATGGCACTACCCTGCCACCTGCAGTCAGCCTGAAGCAAGCCGTGCTGGAGTAAAAATGACTTGGCACCGGAGCAGTCCTGTGACACTCTACCGTGCTATGCTGAATGTTCCGTGGGTGGGCGCAGACATGGTCTACAGTAAAAGGCAGGGTGGGGTCATTTCTGCAGAGAGGACTGGAAGGGAAAACCGTTTGATATTGGCTGAACATCCTACTCTACTGTTAGGCGAAGGCTTCAGAACAGTCTTATCGAAGATACTCAAATTGCCATTCTGGTGACCCCACCTCTGAGATATGTGGACTAAAGACTCGAGGCAGGGTAGGGAGTGATGTGTGTTGTCATGAGACTTTTTAAGTGTGAGTCTGGGCTTTGAGTTCTTCCAAACCTCAAAATGTGCTGTTCCCTGCAGTTCCTAATGGGAGCTCTCCTGTCGTAGGGAGAAGCCTCCTCCCAACCCTGAGCAGCAACCACCCACTCCTTCAGATGCACGTGGCATGATGATCCAAACCCATGGATGTCCCCCGGCTCAATGTCCCTGGGACAAACATATTTAACTAAAGTGGAGGAAGACATGTGGGTGCTGCCTCCGTAGGCTGCTCTTTTATTCTTTGGAACTGTGGAGGGCAGGGGGGGGGGGGTCACACATGGGAATTGGAAACTCTCTGGAGATGCTGGAGCCCTCTCTCCTGGGAAATGTAGAATTAATTCCAACGAATCAAAGTGTTGTTTCTCCCCTCTCTCCACAACCCAGCAAGCTCTCTCTTTCATGGCCGTCCCAGGAATTTAAAGCAAGTGAAATGTTGACTCTGCTCGCTCCTTTCTTCTGAAGGTTCCTTTGAAAGAGACTTTGTTCCCAGCCTTCTCCTCCCGCCCCCACCCCACTCCCAGCTGACGGCCATTTAGCACACCGGTATTTCCATGCTATTTCCAATATTCATACCAAGACCAAAGTGTCCAGTGAGGGCTCAGACAAAACCCAGCTTGGTTCTGAATGCATTGTGACCTAGTTCCTGCATAATTACGGGTTGGGGGGGGGGGTGTCTCCATTCACAAAGAACCTGCCAGCCATCAAGATGTTCGCAAAGCCAGAGGCGGTAGAGAGGCATGCCGCCTGGAGGCTTACAATGAGGAACCGTGGGTGAACCGACTGACTGTCACTTTCTAAAGCCTAACCAGACTGAGCGGTGACTGGAGGATAAAGCTGGGAGGGGAGCTCTGATGAGCGAGCCTGCATGGGCTTTCGACGCAGACAGTCACTAGTTTTGCTGGTTGCATGACCTCGTCCTTGTTGACTGCACCTCCCGGAGCCTCGTCTTCCCCTTCTGTAATCAGTCCATCTTCACCAGATTGTTATGGGAATAAGCGATATAATTATCTAAAGAATCTATGTGTAATAGTGTGTTAGAGCTTTCATCACAGCATCATTTATTCCAGCCTTTCAGTGGCCGCGTATGGAATTTATTGAACAAACAGTGCAAACCCAGCCCCTGACCTTCCAGCATAAGGCGTGTTGTGTAAAATAGAAACTTACAGTTGCCTCTCAGGTGTGGGGAAGAGAAGTGTTTGATGAGCTTCTTGGTCCACACTAAAATGCTTAATCAGTAAAAACTACTAATAAGGAATATAATTAAAACTGACAACAGCTCCCTCTCACCCACACGGTGCCTCAGAAGAGGCAGGCATAGTCAGATCAGAAGTGATATCCAGTCGTATGAACCATAAAGGTGAGGTTCTTGCAACTATGTAAACCGTCAGTGTTTTGTTGGGTGCTAGTCTCTAATGGAGGGGCAGAAAGCACTGTCTTCTGCCTTCCTCTCAGGAGAGAGAGCTGTGGCTGCCTAGGTTGCCATAGAGTGAAAAGGCAGAAGTGGGGGGGTGGACTGGAAGAATACGATTAGGGAAGGAGAAAAAGAGAGTGAGCGAAGGACAACCAGCTCCCTTCCCTAACCTGGGAGGAAGACCTTAATACTGTATATATGCATATGTATCTGCAGCCTTCATCCCACGACACTCACTCCCACTGTTCAGCACCTTCCTCTTCAACAGCACCCTAATCCCAGACCTTGAAATCATTAGGAACTTTATCCCTATGCTTCCTCAGATCACCTCCACTCCCAGCTTCTCCACCCTCTATGTGTTAGGAAGTATTCTATCAGCCCATAGTCTCTGGAGGCCGCTGAGCAATCTTTCTAAACACAAATCCATTCTTTTCCCTGGCTTCCTTCTACCTTCTTTAACAAGGCCTTTATTTAAGTGTATGTGCATGTGTCCAGCCCCAACTTCAGCATCTCCTACCATGCATTCCCTCTCTCTGCCCAAAACTCCTCTCCACTCAGTGGTACCATGCTATAAAATCTTTTACATCCAGGCTTCCCATCCTCCATTCCCTCCACATTAACATTCTTCCCTTGCCATCCACGCCTTCCACAAACCACCCCACTTTCACTTTTTAAAGACGCCTTCCCTGAGTCCTGGGCTAGCTGTGGCCCACCGTGTGTCCTTGTGGCTCGCGAGACATCCCTGTGCTTTCTTGTCACTTTATGATTTTTTTTTAAATATTTGACTCAGCTCCCAAGGCAGAGTTCATGCCTCTATCTTATATGTCACTGATTTCGGAACCTAATACTGTGCCTAGCATCTAGGACACTCCATAATCCACGTTTGGCAGAATATGTATTGAGAAGAATCGAATATGGTGCCCAAGACCAGCTGAATGAACTATGAATTCACAACTCACCCCTGGACTCTGTCCAGCACACCTCCTCTATTCAACCTCTTCTAGCAAAACAGACAAAACCACTTTATAAAAAATACGACCACAAAGTGTCCCATACATCAGAGCAGCAGCTGCATCCCGTCAGTAGAAACAAAACAGCATTTGTTACTCTTGTGACAGGGAACCCTCTTGAGAGACTCGCCCGGTGCCTGCACTCTCTTTGTCTGTGGTCACTGTCCTGTCAGCATCCTTTTATAAGAAAGACTTTGATCTTAATCGTGTGCCCTGGTGCCTGTGAGTGGAGAGTGAAAGCTGAGCACGGAGACCAAAGACACGTGGTCAGATGGCTCCCACGTCACAGCAGGCTGTAATATCTCAGTGGCTGGGCCATGGGTGTAAAAGGCTGGCGGCTGGGAGCTGCACATCCTTGAGCGGTGTTTCTTCTGCCCATTCACAACTATGCGAAATGATAGAAGTGACATAATCACCTGTTATCATTATGAAATGACCATAATTCTACAACCAGACTGCAAAGAGTAACAAGGGCAGCTCCAAGGATGTTTAGAACAGTGGCAACATCCCTAGACTAGAGATGTGTCCTCTCAAGGTGACTTTGAAGGACAGCACCAATTCAAATGTGAGTTTGGTGAATGTTGAAGGGCCGTGTCATGGTTGGGATCTACCTTGTGTAACTAGGGTTCCTCCCTTCATTCTCTCCCCGACTCTTCCCCCTCCTCAAATGTGGATGCCATTATTTCTGCTGAAATTAATTTTGCCTTTCTTCAAAATGGAAGGAAAGCAAGTTCTCTCCCCTTGCTGTAACCTCCAGTCTTTTCCAGGGTTTTCCTCTCCGCAATCACCTATCTTCCTAAACCCGGTGTTCCCCAGCGCCCTACGCTTTGACGCGCTTCCAGAGCGGAGGCTGCTGCGCGAAGCTCATTACGAGATGGATCTGGAGACACCATGGATCAAATCGTGTCCCACAAATCACTGCAATCGTACAGTAAAATAGAAAGTGTGTAACTTATCACACCTGTGCACACTCCTCTTCCCCAACACTGCCATTAGGAAGGCTTTTAGCTGTATGCTGTATACATAGTCTAACAAGAAAAAACGTTCCCTCTGGAGATATTTAGGCTTCCTG